GAGGGGAGGGGAGGGGGGAGATGTGTTCCTATATAAGCGCAATTGGATTGAAACACAATAAATTGGACATGTATTTAGCTTCTCACAACAACCTATCTAAGTGGCCACAACTATTTGTAACTATCCAACCACAATTACGTTCATATCACTGTCCAATTAACATATCTTCATCAAAACGTATATTTCGACCCTGTCCGTTTAGATTCTTCAACTCATGGCTAAACCACTGGCTTTGCAAAAACAATAATTGACAGGTGGAATTCTAATAATGGCTTGAAATCTGATTCCCTTTTTCCCCATTATTGTTGGTTGTGGGTAAACTTAAAATGGTCAAAAACCTTATTAAGGACTGGAGAAAGAAACTTCTAGAAGTAAAAAAAAAAAAAAAAAGTTCATGGAATTATCCAACACAATAAACTCTATCGACCTTTTGTCTGAGACATCACTGCCTCTTTGGAAATTAGAGCTATCACGCACCGCAAGTTACCATGGAGATTAAATCCACTAAATTTCTTGACATGAAATAAAAATCAAGGGTTATAACCCCTAATAATTATTCCAAAACAAAGAAAACATGACATATAAGAGAGTATATAACTCATGTCCTTGTCTACCAGGTCTTAAAAAAACATAGGAACAAGAAAAACAATAAAAAAAAAGATGACCATTACTCCACTAAATCATAAACACAAATTATTAGAAAAAAAAAACTAGTTATACGTAAATACATCACATATAAAAGAGTATATAACATTAGTTTGACTAGTTGGTTCTTGATTATAAGAAGTTATTTTTGTAGCCTAGTTGTATATACTAATAATTGGATACCTGTTGCCTGCACTTGACAACTTGACAGGTAGCTTCCCAAACAGCAACAACTTGTTCAGAGAATGAAATTAAAAGCAACGGTAACAGAGAGACAATGTTATCATATTCTATCCATCTGAGTCAACCACTTCCCTTGTCACTATCAGTGAGGTACATTATGTTTACACTTTCTTGTATAGATGAGAAGTTAAAAGGACTTGCAAGAAATTCAGCTCCCCCTTCACCACATACGTTACTTCCATAGATGAGAAGTTAAAAGGACTTGCAAGAAATTCAGCTCCCCCTTCACCACATACGTTACTTCCATAGATGAGAAGTTAAAAGGACTTGCAAGAAATTCAGCTCCCCCTTCACCACATACGTTACTTCCATAGATGAGAAGTTAAAAGGACTTGCAAGAAATTCAGCTCCCCCTTCACCACATACGTTACTTCCATATAACCTGCCAAGAAAAAACTCATAATTTGAAAAATTGACAAAAACAAAAAAAAAGGAAATATGAAACTCGTTTATGTGATAAAAAATGTACTCATTTAACTTAAGAAGGTGTGGCCATAGGTATGGCATTTCTTTTCCCAAATTCCTTGAAGGATCTAAAGTTCTAAACCAATAGTTGTAAGCTGAAATGGTGAAATAAAGTTGTTTTTAGAGATGAGAAGTAAATGCAGGAAAAAAACGGAGGCATAAAGGAGAAATCGAAAATACTAGGTGAAATCACAGATGCAGGAAAAAATCATAAGCCTTTGTGCTTGATTGAGAAGATGAAGTCGAGAGATGAATGAAAAATTGTGTTTCCTCTTATTTGTTGAACGGCTGAAGAAATAGGGCAGGGTAGAAGCATCATTTTCACACCTTAGTGCAATCAGATCTAGGGTTTGCAAACCTGAGGAGTCTTAGTATATGGAGTAGGGTGGAGGGGAGGTGGACCGGTGAGCCTAAGGAGTCGATACTGATGTAACGATGGTGATAGATTACTTGTCGTTCTTGTGTGATGAGTATGAGAGAGATTAATAGATAGGTGTGTAGTCGTCGATGTTGTAGCCTGAGGAGTCGCAACACCAGTACGGTGGAGGATACTTAGTTGCCGAACGACGCTGCAATCGAGAGTGAAGCGATTGGGTTGTAAGGTCTCCGATCAAAAAAGCCCTAGTTTTACATGTAACCATCGTGGTGTCTTCCCTTCTTCTGAGCCACCATCGTTGTCTTCTTCCTTCCCTTGAGCCACCATCTGGAACCTAAGAGAGAGAGAGAGAGAGAGAGAGAGAGAGAAATGGAGAAATGGAGATAGATGTTTGAAAAAAGCCCTAGTCTTGATTTTGTGCTTTAGGACTCATGGACAAGCGTTTTGTTAAAAAATATAAAACGACATGTGTACACGACACGCATATTATGATGGGTGCCCTCCGTGTTTGTAATTTTTTTTATTGGACACTAATTTTAGGGCACGCACAAATACGTGTCCTCTATCCTTTAAATTTTGAAAAGCTGACATTATTTTTAGGACACACAAAAAATATATATCGTAAATATGTGTGTGTCATTGATTGCGTGTCATTAAAGGGTTGCTTTCTTGTAGTGCAAGAAACTTACACAAAGTATTATGTTGTAATTATGAATAAAAAATGAAGTATGTTGCTATTACGAAGTACTTTGCTATTTTGAATGAAAACAGTTCCTAAATAAATAATTTGTTGTTATATTTTGTTAAAATAAAGTGTGTTGCTATTATGGATAAAAAAAATAAGTACAAGACCTATATTGATAGAAAAGTAAAGTGTGTTGCTATTATGGAATATGTTTTTTGTATGTTTCTATATTGGATAAAGAATGTTGATATATATTCTTTTTTTTGCTAAGTATATGTTTGTTTTTAGGTTAAGGAGCTACGAACCCAACTTGAAAATGCAGAGAGGGAAAGAGTTTTGATGCAACAAAAACAAGAAATAATGGAACAACAATTGGCTCAACCGATGGGACAATTTGCTAACCCTCCTGAAGATCGATGTTAGATTTGTTATTAGAAACTTTTTATTAAGCATGTTGGTGAAGTACAAAAACTTAATTGTAGCTATCATTTTGTGGATATTTAGATAGTAGCTATCATATTGCTGATATTTAGATAGTAACTATCATTTTGTTGAAGTATTGGTACCATTTTGGATTTGTATTAAATTGTTTTTATGTGTTTACTATTATTATTGTGGTTGATAGTGCATATTTAAAGAATTTGTATTTGATTTATAGTTTATTATATAATTTCTGCAAAAACTGCTTATTTTTAATTTCTTGAATATCGGTATTTTATAAAATTTAAAAAATAAATAAATAAATAAATAAAAACCTTTATTATTACCAACATAATACATATAGAAAAATACATCAAATTAAACTCTTTTGAAAAGGTAGATCGTTGGAAATTTGTTAGAATGGTAATCTGTAAGAATTTTCTAGGAAAAAATGTGTCAGGAAGGCTATGGACGCCTTGTTGGAAATTCATTGGAAATTTCCTACGAAATATTCTATAGGAAATTTGCCAGGAATTTCATTGGAATTTTGTAGGAATAGGGTTTCCCACAGCCCTTTTTCCAACAAACATGTTTCGTCGGAACTTTGTTGGTAATTGTTGTTTCCTACCAAATACCAACAAAATTGCTTGTAGGTAACCATCCAATTTTCTAGTAGTGCTAAATGGTTTCTGTTCATTCGTTTTCGTTTTTGTTTGTTTCCCATCTTAACGAATATAAATTAATGAAAATGAAAAAGATATTTATTACAAACAAACACAGAAAAAAATTGTTGTTTATTTGTTCTTGTTCGTTCGTTTGTTCGGTTAAATTTAAAAGAACCAACATGGTCAAGCACTTGTTCATGTTTGTTTGTTCGGTACATTTATTGTTTTACTTGGAAAGTTAACACTTTGTCGATTGTCATGCCACTTTGATAAAGTTAGTACTAGATATTTATCTCTCTCCATGTTTAAAGCTCCTATCAAGGTTTTGAATGATCTTGAAAAAATATGAAGAGATTAAATATGGAGGGGTTTGGGAATTGGTAGTTTTTTTTTTTAACCAATTGGGTGTAATTAGCTAAATTGGTTTGGCGTTTTTTTCATTGAACCTAATTTCGTATGGGTTAAGTTAATTAGAGATATGCAGGGAGAGTATAATGTTTTAGAACCGATAACTAGATTACAAGAAGACATGTGATGACTCTTTGGGAAAAGATTGTTAAGTCTATAAATGGTATGGTTGATTATGATTTTCAATATGGATACTTATATGAAACGAAAGGTTGGTAATGAGGTGGATAGGGAGTTTTGGAACGATATGTGTCATGGTAAGAATCATTTCTCTAACTCAATTTTCTCGATTGTATGTTTTAGAGTCGCAAAAATACCATGATGTTTGCTTCTTGCTATCGAATTGGGAGGTGGAAGTCATATTAGAGTAGGCTTCATTTGTCACGCAGAGTGGGATGACCGGATGAGTAGTTGTCTCTTCAAAATATTCAATTATAAGATAAAGAAGATACTTGGTAGGTATTGGGAGTTAACTAGAATATGTTTCTTCGGTTTCGTCTATTCAACATGTTCTTGATAGTGCAATGATAATGGAGAGTAATCAAAGGAAATGGAATAAACATAAACCGATCAAATTTAATATCTTAAGGTGGAGAGTAATTGGTTTAGATATATGGGCTACTAGTGTTAGCCGTAAGGCTAAATCCGTCAATATATAACAAGGGCATTTATGTAATTTTCTGTCTTGAATAGTTAAGAGTTAGTTATAGATTAGTTATGAAGTTTGTTAAGTCGTTTACTCTTTATGTCTGAATGTATATATGTAGCAAAAAGGTCCATTTTGATTAATAAGAAGATTCACTCTGCTGCTCTCAATTTCTTTCATTTCTTTCTCTCTCAAATTCTACAACTAGGGCAATTCTGGATCGTATGGGGTTGGTTTTGACCCAATGACTCAGTTCTTTGTACTGGTTGTGATTGCTCATATTAAAACAATATTGAACGATCTTTCTGGTCTACAAGAATATATTCTTTACAAAATGTTTTTCTTTTATTTTCGAAAGTCTATCTATTCACTCCAAAACTCGCTAATAATTGTTTTATTAAAGATGCAGGTACTTGCATTCCAAAAAGTGAAAAGGAGATCAAATTATCAATCCTTCTTGTTCTCATAACTAAAAGGTAATGGCACAGACTTGAAAGCTCGATATTTCCCAACATTGTTCAGATGCTCATTCTCCAACCTGCATTTTTCTCCATCAACAACGAATCCTAACCAAGAAAAAATATATATTTCCGTCACTAAAAACACCAACCTGAAGAAGTTCCAAATACCACGACGAATGATCTCCAAACTAGTGAGAAAAGCTACTAAAGCTGTTCTATGGAGGAACGAAGCTTCATGAAAATCTAACACCGTTTGCACCCAAGCTAGCCTCAATATCACATTCACTACCTGCAAAAATCCGTCACATAATGGTGTCACGAAAATACCATTGGATTTTGAAAGAGAGAAAGTTGTTGCAAATTCTATATTACCATCGCTAAAAAGTAGATAGATCTATGGGGCAAAAGGAGTTTGTCTCTTAACCAAGGGTTTTCAGAGTTTCTACGTAGAAGTCCCCAGTCACACACCAAGTCCCAGTATGTGCCGAAAACTGTCGCGACACCCGAAGTGGATGTTGCAAGTATTTTCAATGCTAGTCCTTTCTTTTGAACGTAAAATGTTCGTGAAATAACAGCAACAATTGTTGAGAAGTACTTGAGTGCATTCACAGCTTGACTCGTGTCTTCTCCTTCAAACAGGCGTCGCAAACACTGAGGCGTTGTTAAATGTTAAAAAAATGTCACAATAAACATATGGAATATCATGATAAACATGATATAACCAACAAAACGGATGACCAATATAAATTTATTCGTCATTAAAACTAATTAAAATCTAACAGATATAAAATCATTAGTGATGAATTATATATTTCTGTCGTAATATACCATTTTTATTAAATATACCTGTAGACATCGAATCCAATAAGGGATAATAGCGATAACTAAAGAAATGTTGTTGTAAACGCTACTTCCTCGACACCTACTAGATTCCCTGCTTTTGTAGTCTCCCCAACCGTAGTAGCATATATAGAACTGCAAGTTCCTGAATAACTGAACCTGTATCATATATAGTTCGATATTCTTATAAACATTTTGTCACGCCTGTAAGTGTAACTAAATTTGTAATATCTTGAAACTTACCTGACTTGTCAGTTGATCAGCCAAGAAAAAATCAGGAAGAGTAACCTTGTACAGAGGAGCACAAATACAACGCCATATGCTGGCTATGAAGAAGAAACGATTTGTACGATAGACGATGTTAAACGGACAGAACGCTATCGAAAGTACAATCTGCAAAATCAAACTTACAACTAATCAACATAGTTTTTTGGTCAGAAGAAATTACAAGAGGGCAAAAGACTAATTTATTACCACGACTAATCCTAAAGGGAGTAGTTCAGTTAGAGTTCTGGAGCTTCTAGCACTTTCATCTATGTCCATTTCAAGATTTGAGAGAATGGCTGCAAGAGTGAGTACTGATAGGCCAGAACTGAGAAGTATGATTTCTCGATAACCTAATTCAGTATTTGGTTTGAACCCAAAAATGAAGGCATAATTGACACGATAACGCTTCCAAAAGCAGATGTTTCCGGCATACATTAACATATGTAACACGAGGAAGCCAAATATACTGTATAAGGGAAATACATTAGTCATGTATTGATCGCGCCCTTCACTGTTGAGAAGGTCTCTAGCGTGTATCATTAAGATTATTGCAATGATAAATGCTACCGAGTACCCCAAGAAGCAACCTGTATGAGATATATTATAGCATCAGAAGATTTGCGACACTTTTGCATCATTTTATATAGCGATGGGTCTAGACATTAGTGACGGATTTTTTCATTGGAGACGAATATATATTCTCCTTACAAAGATAATATTGTCCACAACGTACCCGTAAAAAATGTTACTCTATGCTTTTCCGTTTTAGCTTTTGGCCGTAAAGTTTTCATTCCTAGACTGCGGTTTCCATTGCAGAAGTGTTCTGTATAAACAGATTCAACACTCTCCATGAGCTTAGAAACCTACAAAAACACCATAAAAATGACTTGTTTCATCATTTTCTAATTTGAAAAACAACTAAATTAATGTAAAGTCATAGATAGATACCTCATCAGATTGTCTTAAGTAAGATTTCTCAACCATCCCTAAATAATCCTTTGACGCGTTTCTTGATGTGATCTATATACAATAGAAGGTTAGATGTTGAATGCATATATGCATGCAAGTAGAAATAACTATGGAAATTGGAAAATCAAAAAATTTAGACCTTATCGTACTTCTTCATGATCTTGGAGAAAGCCAATTGGTTCAAGAAGCTGCATAAAGAGAGTTACAAAAAAAAAAACAGAACAGCTTAGCGACACTTAAACTGCATGAAAAAGTGTCGCTAGGATAAAGCAACCAAGAATATTCCTAATATGCAAACGAATAGTTTGAGAGTAATCCATATTGCTTACGAGTAGCTTTTCAATTGGCGAAGCTTTTGGTGGAACTCGATAAAAGCCTGATTCAACTTTTCTTCTGCATTTTTGAGTTCCTTTTTACTAAATGAGAAGCTTAATTTTGAACTACCGAAAGCATTTTTCAACGATGACCTTGGTGTTTCTGGCATAACATTGATCTTTACATGATTTAGAACATCTAAAGAAACCATCTCTTGTTCGTTGTCCATTCTGCCACTTCCCATTTTACGTTTGCCATTTTCTTCCCCATGCAATTTTGTTTCTTGAATCACATCTGACAGAAAACGTCAAAAATTTACTTTAGCGTCACAATGAATACCCAAACATAATTATAGTGTCGCAAATAACCTGTGATTTGTTCATTGGCGAATCGAGAGGAAAATATAGGAGATGAACTGCAGAAAAGCGGATCTTCAACTTTGATTCGAAGAGCAATAAGAGCGTTCATTTGTTTACTCAATTCCTCAGCTTCGATCACCATCTCCCCTACCTTTCCCTTATAGAAATCGATCACTTTGTTGAACTCATCATCAAGTTTTCTGAAAAACCCTAGCTCAGACTCTCCGGCGTCCTGCGATGACCGGAGGAAAACAGTCCGGTAGTTCTCCTCCGATTGATGCATTGCACTTACCAGAATCACTTCATCCTCGTTATCCTTGTTATTAGAATTGCCATTTGTTAGTCCACCGAAGGCTTTGTGAAGAGACACCTTTCTCTTCCGTGATGAACCTTTTGATGGCAGTGGTGGGTTTGCCTGATACCCCGGGGTTGACTCGTTTTGCTGCAGTCGCCGGAAAATCAAGATTTCTTTAATGAGAATCTTGAGGTGGTTGTAGTTCATGTATGCTGCCTGCCATTCCGGCACCATTTGTGAAGCAAATTCCTTCCCAAACTTCATTTTTTAGGTTGTTTAACTGGTAAAGATCGATGCAATGATCAAGTAGAGCTTATATAAACATTGGTAGCATTGAAAGATAATATTTATTAAGGTAGAACATAGAGACAAATATGTCCACTCAAATGAAAAAACAAAATTGAAGATCTCACTTGGTAGAACCGCCGTCCAGTCACATTCGAAGTCAACACCTTGGGCAGGCGGCATCTCGCAGTCATCTCCTGGGGTTTTAGCCGTGCCATTTCATGGCAGCTTCTTCAATGGCGTTTCCGACCTCCACCCCTTCCAGTGCAGCAAAACGGCGGTGACAGGGCTCCTTTTCTCCTCTCCGATGACTATTTTCATCGAAGATCAACAGTCTTTTTCATGGTTCTTCGTGCTTGAGGCCAAGCAAATTTCCCGTCGAATCCAAACAAATGACCGAATCCTTGGTATAACTACTTTTAATATTATTCAAGTATTAAGTTCAAACGAAGGTATCACCTACTTCTAAACAATATCCACTAAATTGTCGATTATGTTCTGTGGCTTAATACTTTTATCTTTTCGATAATGGATCGTTGGGATTTTGAAGACCGCATATAAGCATGCAGATTATCCCGTTAATCACGAGGTAATCTTTATTATTTATCAATTAATCATTTTATTAGTTATAAGATAATCCTTCAAATAATTCCCTACTACAAGTACAATGTTTTGCGAAACGACACCGTTATAAGGTTTAGTTCGTTGAGGGTCGTTAATTTTGGACAAGGGGAATAAGGAAACAAATGATCCGAGTTTGGAGAGAGCTTTTTGCCAAATCTAGGGTTCTTATTTTTAATTTAACCCCATAATCATACCAACAATGTGGAGATCGAGAAACATAGCGACATTGTTTGTGGTGATGATATTAGGGTTAGCTTCAACACCAATAATCGTAAAGGGGATGAGATTCGATTTGAAAACAGGAGCCACGAAATGCATAACGGAGGACATCAAAATCAATGCAATGACCGTCGGCAAGTATAGCGTCGTCAAGCGTGTCCAAGGTTTCTCTTTGCCTGAATCGGATCGCGTCACTGTCAGGGTCAGTTCCCCACATCGTTTTGTTTTTCAAGCGTGGATTGATTCTTAGCTTCGATCAATTCCTCTATGGAAACTAATTAAACCAGGATTAGTAAGCAATTCAGGATTCTAGCTTCTTTATTCTCTTAAATATCTAGCATGTTTGCTTCTTTTAGGGTTTTAAATCAGCTTTTATCTGTGTGAGCCTCATCATTTTTTTGCTTCAACTGTAATGCAAACAAACGAGCGACCATTGCATAAACAGAGTAATTTTGGACAAAACTGCATAGCTGATAGTTGTAAATGTATCTGACTATTTGTATGTGAGATTCGACCTGTATGCTTAACAGTGAGTTCACAGTATGATATTTCAACAAGAGAATGCAATGGCTATGGAAGTAGGAAAATTTTAGAACATTCTCTTGACAATATTATTGTGAAATATGGGATTAGTATTGGATTTGATGAAGATACGTTTTATCATGTGATATGATATGTGTATATAATATAGGTAACTTCACCGCTTGGGAACAATTATCACTATGCAGATCGAAGAGATTCTGGTAATTTTGCATTCACTGCTGGTGAGGCTGGTGATTACATGGCCTGTTTCTGGGCTGCTAAACAATCTCCACAGAAGACACTGTCAATTGATTTCGAGTGGAAGTCAGGCCTGGCTGCAAAAGACTGGTCTAAAGTCGCTAAAAAAGGCCAGGTTGAAGTAAGTTTTCTTGTCATCTTGCATCTGGTAATTAGAATAGTAGCAGACCTTAATAAATTAGATTAGTGGTAATTGAAACGAAAATCCTTCCAAATTGAAACAAAAATTAAATATTTTCTTCTTTTCTCGCCAAATCCTTCCAATTTGGAAGGAAAGTTATTCTTCCATTTCTTTCTATTGTCCTTCATAAAAACACAATTTTACAAAAATATTCAATGTTTTGAATGTGACAACGATCGTCAATACAATAATGCTTACTATCACTATTTTGTGCAAAACATAGCATGACCTTCCTTTTTTGTGTCCCAACACCTCATTTGAAAAATGGTACATCGGAATGCAGAATTCAGATGATTAATAATCCTACCAAACCTTACTAACCGCAATCACGGATGAATTCAATGCTGGAGATGTCACAGATGATTAATAAAAAAATTCCAACAAAGAATCAAGTTTTGTAACGGAAAGTTACCATCATAATATCAAATTTTGGATGTGAAGAGAAATGGCTTCATTCATGTTACTAGTCATTTACATTATATGAAGAGATGTGAAGAGAAACATCATAATATGAAATTTAGATGTGACAACGATAATGGCTTCATATATGTTAACGTGTAGTTGTTTGTGACAGATGATGGAACTTGAGTTGAAGAAATTGTATGATTCAGTCACCACTGTCCACGAGGAGATGTACAATCTTCGAGAGAGGTAAACACTAAACATTGAACATCACAACTCACCTACCTTTTTTTTTGTTTCTCCAAAAAGTAAAAACCTAAGCTGCACACGTTTGTGGTGTTGTTAATTATGTAGGGAGGAAACGATGCAACATCTAATACGATCAACTAATTCCAAGATGGCAACTTTCAGCTTTTTCTCCCTTGTTGTTTGCTTATCAGTTGCTGCCCTTCAGCTATGGCATTTGAAGTCATTTTTTCAGAGGAAGAAGCTCATTTAATTTACTTACTTTTTCCTCCCTTTTTTTTCTTATCATATCATTCATTATATTCATTACTTTTCTTCTTCTTTTATAATGTTTAATTTACAAAACCGTGATACCCGCTCTCCAAATTCAGAAACCTCTGTAAATTATCAAAAACTGATATTAACTGTAATCATCTCACATCTATGATTCATTCCTTCTTACATGGATTTTTTTTACCAAAAACTTGTGTATACTTGACGCTGGCGTCAACAACGGTTGTACCCACTGTATATGTCACACACCCTATTTTGCTGAATTCATCACATTATAAGAGTGTTTAAAATATCTTAACATCACAATCCTTTTTAGCATATTATATAATGTTTTACTTGCAAAATCTTTGCAACATTTCAACCCCATTTCAACCTGCATACAAAAAAACCAGTACCTGAATAGATTCGTGAATCTTAAAATCGTCACATATAAGAAAGTGCAAGATTTTGAGTTTGTCAAAGAAAACCAATAATACAGCAAGATTGTGATTCACATTAGAAGATTCAAGGTGCTGAAATCATACTTTCAAAGATCCAAAAGCTTAAAAGCTTGGCACTTTTATATTAGTAAAAACCAAACGAAACAATACCAAACCACACACTCAAACACATTGCAAACATAAAGAAACATCAAAGACAGAAACCAGATGTTTATGATGGCCACCCCTTTATTCATACTAGTGGTAGTAGCTTATGAACCCAACAAACCAAACTTCACTTCAATTTCATTCATCATAATGCTTGCGGTGGTGGTGCCTATGCTTCTTCTTCTCATCATCATCATCATCAGAGTCATCATCTCCCTGCAAATTCATTGCAAATATCAGTCTCTCTCATGTAAAATCTGGCATATGACTCTCATTGTTGCAGATGACATAAATGGCAAAAAGAGAAGAACATGCTGGAATGTTATAAGCTGATGATGCTACTAATGTTTCACAAACACATAGTCTTTCCATAAACTCCACAAAAAGAGACAATGTAGGATACATCAGCATTAACACTTAGTTAGGGTATTCTAACTCCAAAAGACTTGTTTACATTGATATATAACGTAATAGAATTGAAGTTATTGAAACAAGTCCTCTACTCAACCAACATACAGTAAGATTCATGCTTTACCACCAACCCTTTGCCATTTAACAATTCTTTGCCAGATGCCAATTCAATCTAATTAAGCTTCTAAACTAATTTAAGACAAAACTGATTATAGCAAACACTTGATTTCTAGATCAAAGGCATAAGAATGTCAAGGATGTGAGTAAACAGGTAAAATCACATGAAATAAAATAAATAAAATTGCCATGGTGCAAGGGATTTATAGAACTTACATATTTCTTACGACCACCATGACCGTGACCTTCATCTTCATCATCGCTTCTCCGACCATAACTAGGTTTAGGGTATTCTTCCTCAGTCTTCCCGCTATACCCGGATCCATACTCAGAAACCGGCTCCTCCTGCCTACGCCCATATCCAGATTCATACTCCGGAGTTGGCTCCTCCTGCCTCCGGCCATACCCAGATCCGTACTCCGAAGTTGGCTCCTCCTGCCTCCGTCCATACCCAGATCCGTACTCAGAAGTCGGCTCCTCCTGCTTCCGGCCATAACCAGATCCGTACTCAGATGAGGGCTCCTCCTGCCTCCGACCATAACCAGATCCATATTCAGAAGTAGGTTCCTCTTGTCTCCGACCATAACCAGATCCATATTCAGGAGTAGGTTCCTCCTGTCTCCGACCGTAACCAGATTCATATTCAGGAGTAGGTTCCTCTTGCCTCCGACCATAACCAGATCCGTATTCAGGAGTAGGCTCCTCCTGCCTCCGCCCATAACCAGATCCGTACTCAGAAGTGGGCTCTTCGGGACGCCGGCCATACCCAGATCCGTATTCAGAAGAAGGCTCTTCAGGTTTCCGTCCATAGCCAGATCCATACTCGGAAGTAGGCTCCTCAGGCCTACCATAACCAGATCCACCGCCGTGACCTCCACCGTATTGAGGGGTCACAGCAGCAGGGGTATGGCCAGGGCGGGGCTTGCGACGAGCATAGTTCTTGTATTCATTGTCAAGGGCTTCTTCGCCGTAGGCACTTGGCTCGGCGTAGGAGGAATAGTTAGATCTTTCATAGTCGAAGCCGCCGGAGGAAGTTGAGGTGGGAGCGTAGCAAGTTTCCTCAGAAGGAGGGAGAGGACGGCCATAGGTGAGGTGGATGTCGTAGCCTCCTCCGTACGGAGTTGAATCGTAGTCATCAA